TGTCGAAACCACCCCCATCTGCACAGTGTCAAAGCGTGCATGTAATGGCTGTAACCGCCACATGATAGATTTGTTTTCTGTCAAAACCACGGCCATCTTCACAGTGTCGAAGCGTGCATGTAATGGCTGTAACCGCCACATCATAGGTTTGTTTTCAGTCAAAACCATGGCCATCTGCACAGTGACGAGGCGAGAATGTAATAGCTGTAATCGCCGCTTACACTTTCTGTAAAGAATAAAGTGAAGGACCCTTTTCCACGCCTTTCGGCATAATGGGAATGTAGGGCTAGACCTAAATTTTTAAAACCAATCGGCACTTGGTGGGTTATATGGCCAGAACGACATCACGCCGACCGCCTTTACTTTGCAGGACTGCACCTGGTACCCTCTCAAGGCTGGGTCGACATAGGAGTCAAGGTCAATTTTGAAGAAAATTCTCGCTCCGTCAGGAAGCGAATCCACTACCTTCTGATCCGTAGGCGTGCGTCTAGCCGCCAAGGCCACGGCGACTCCCTTACACTTTCCATTGCCAACGAAAAATGTCCTAATTTGCTAATTTACTATTTATTATTATTGGTTACTCTTTATTACAAAAAACGCCACTCGGTTTAAGTTTTGTACACAGGGAAAAGATCGCTCGTTTTATGCTTACGTCACTTTTACAGAAACTCAATGTAAAAAAGTGCACCATTTACTTTTACTACAATGCTAGGTGCCACACATACTCAGTCTTAATCACGCCCCGCTACTGCATCCTCGATGTATTTATTATTATCACAATCCAGCTGCTCTCTTTGTACGTCACATAGGGCTCGAGGTCGTTTCCTCTGTTTCCTTTTATAATATAATCTTGTCTTCTTGTTCTTGGACCTTTGCCATCAACGTTCATCGCCTATTTCTGTTGGACGCCATTGTTTCCTGGATCCACTTATTTCCAATGTTAGTGTTTGTTTTATGATTGTTTGAATACGTTGTCTCATAATTAGCTCAATACATTGCTGTGTTTATGTTTTTGTTTTAACTGTTGATGCCAGCCATTGCCCAGACGTATATCTGATCTTTTTACTTTTATTCATTAATTTAACCTATTTAACATTCGTCAGTTTCTCAGGCAGTTATTTCAATTACTGTAAAAACTTTTCAATACCCCCATTGCGAGTGAAAAGTTAAGCAACTCTAAACCGATTACAGAACACATGTTTTATGAAATGGTCCACAATGCAAAGCTTGGGAGAAGGACTAGACGTTTGTGTGATCAAAGTTAACCTACAAGCGCAGATTTATTTCATATTGTAACGTTTTGGTTTTAGACGAGGGCAGTAATTCTTCTTGCAGTCAATGTCGTCTGTCACTGGCTATCATGTTTGTCCACAATCCCCCTGTCTTGCATGCAAAAAGGTCTTTGGGTTTATGTGATGATGTTTGCTTGAAAGCTATATCAACGACTGATTAGAGTAACTTTTTCGTTAGATACTAGAACGGTACTTCTTCTTCTTCTTCTTCTTCTTCTTCTTCTTCTTCTTTTTCTTTTTCTTCTTCTTCTTCTTCTTCTTCTTCTTCTTCTTCTTCTTCTTCTTCTTCTTCTTCTTCTTCTTCTTCTTCTTCTTTTTCTTTTTCTTCTTCTTCTTCTTATTCTTCTTCTTCTTCTTCTTTTTCTTCTTTTTCTTCTTCTTCTTCTTCTTTTTCTTCTTTTTCTTTTTCTTTTTCCTCTTCTTCTTCTTCTTCTTCTTCTTCTTCTTCTTCTTCTTCTTCTTCTCTTCTTCTTCTTCTTCTTCTTTCTTCTTCTTCTTCTTCTTCTTCTTCTTCTTCTTCTTCTTCTTCTTCTTCTTCTTCTTCTTCTTCTTCTTCTTCTTCTTCTTCTTCTTCTTCTTCTTCTTCTTCTTTTTTTTCTCCTCTTCTTCTTCTTCTTTTTCTACTTTTTCTTCTTCTTCCTCTTCTTCTTCTTCTTCTTCTTCTTCTTCTTCTTCTTCTTCTTCTTCTTCTTCTTCTTCTTCTTCTTCTTCTTCTTCTTCTTCTTCTTCTTCTTCTTTTTCTACTACTACTAATACTACTTCTTCTGCTAGTCCCTGCACTTTGGCGTTTTCACCATGTATAACTTCTGCTCGTGCACTTTAAAAAATACAACAAAACAGCAACATTCTCTCTCTCTCTCTCTCTCTCTCTCTCTCTCTCTCTCTCTCTCTCTCTCTCTCTCTGTCTCTCTCTTTCTCTCTTAGTCTGTCTTGTGTCTATCCCCGGTCTTTCTTGCCTGTCTTCTCTCTAACATTTTCATTGTCACGACGATTGGCAGTTTTATAACTTCAAGAGCTCAATGAATGTAAAAGCCTTTTACTGGATACGGATGCAGGAGGATTTCGTGCAACCTACAACCTTATATCTCCTACTAAACGCATACACTTGCTGAACAGATAATCGTGCACCACCAAACTGTCAACTTCAGTCGCCGATGAATGTCTACAGTTTTTACTCCTTCACCAGTTAACAGAATGCTGTTACTCTTTAGTGCATGTTAAAAGTGGGGTGGCCATTTATTAACTGCAATTGTGACGTAACAATGTTCTTCTGTGCGTGCTTAACACACTCGACATCCTTAACAACAATATTGACAGGTTACAAGACAGTGGCAGGTTTATGGTAATTTCTATCACGCATTTTAAATTTTAATTTAAAGTCCACTCGAGCTTGTGTGTGTGTGTGTGTGTGTGTGTGTGTGTGTGTGTGTGTGTGTGTGTGTGTATTGGGTGGGTGTGTGATGAAATGATTATCGATTGTGATCTCTCTTGTGATAAACTGGACGTAATGTGGTAAGACACCGAAGGATGCTCACTATACTAACACAGCTCCACTACGCAAAAATAACAACATGAACGGATAGTAGACGCTAGTGACAAAAACCGGCCTTTTGTGCCACTGCAGGGTGACAAACTAATGCACGTGTGAATAGTGCAAAACATTTGAAAAGCCAGCACAAACGTCAAATGCAGTACTCATCTTACAGAAGAAGTTATAAAGCAAACATACGTATGGTCGGTGTAATTAATATTTTGTTTCCTACTGCTTCATCAAAGAAACTTCAAGAGTTAACAGAAACTGCTTCAGACTATTTTCTTGCATTTTAATGTTGATGCTGACTTTTAATCCCACCAGGACATCACAGCCAGCGGTAAACAACATGTAATATAAAGTGCCACCAGGATGAGGATAACCCGGGGATAGGTCGCAGACACCCCGTTTAACTTCTTCTTCTTCTTCTTCTTCTTCTTTTTCTTCTTCTTCTTCTTCTTCTTCTTCTTCTTCTTCTTCTTCTTCTTCTTCTTCTTCTTCTTCTTCTTCTTTTCTTCTTCTTCTTCTTCTTCTTCTTCTTCTTCTTCTTCTTCTTCTTCCACCTTCTTAACACGTCAACATTAATCAGCTTGAAGAAAGCAGCAGTCAACTTGAGGTTCCTGATATCTACAGGAGATTGTCCACACATCGTATACGTATAGGTTTCGTCCACACATCGTATACGTATAGGTTTCGTCCACACATCGTATACGTATAGGTTTCGTCCACACATCGTATACGTATAGGTTTCGTCCACACATCGTATACGTATAGGTTTCGTCCACACATCGTATACGTATAGGTTTCGTCCACACATCGTATACGTATAGGTTTCGTCCACACATCGTATACGTATAGGTTTAAATAATTTTTCCAGTTCTCCATGTTGGACACTCGTGAATCTTCTTCCTTTTCGATGTTTCTGAAATAAAAACCTATACGAGGAGGCCAGTAGTCTTGATAAAGGCTATCGTGCAGTATAAATATCACTGCCACCCATACAGCTTTGTCTTGATTTAGGTGGAACAGGCAGATCTCTTAAGTGTTTGCAGTATACGCTTTACAATGTTGAAAGTATATGCTCAGCATTGTAAGGTGCCAAGTTGCAGGGACACACTTGCGTGTTTCCTGAACAGAAAATCGTGAACACTGGTGGCGAAGTCAGTTGTGTCCTGTATTTAGTCTAAATGTGACACTTTGCTTCTCTCTAGATCTAAGTTTTCTGGAGAAATGTGATGTGAGTATCCAGCCACTGATCTTTAACTGCCGTTCCACATGATTGTAAATATGACTTTATTCAAAAATCATGTTTGGTAGTAGGTTCTTGAATGCTGTCATTACGTTTACGAGTTAGCCTTGCAAGCAGGGAGCGATTTATTGGAAACGAATCCTGCTCCAAATTTCCAGACCCAAATAATGTCCTGAGTGTGATCAACAATCGTCCATGTGTCCAATCAACGCATAGCCTGGTCGGGTGCACACTTTATAAAACTGTCAAGATATTTTACCATAAAACATAAGTATATATGTTCTAAAAGGCGTACAGTTGCTTCATCTGGGACACTGATGCAGTAGTCATTAACTCATCGTGTTTGTTGCTATAATATAAGAAGAACTCCACTGGGGAGCATGTACATCAGGAATCTACCTATCATCAGTAGAAGATCCCTCGTCGACAATTGTTTCTGCCCATTACATTCTAGACAACTTCAGAGGGTAAGACGACCTTGGTCGTGACTCTCAGGCCTCAAACTTCTTCTGCTGCACTTTACCGGATGTTCTCGGACAGGGATGAGACGAAATTGTGAATATGCAGTGGGTGCTGAGAGATTCGAAGATAAATATGTATTGAAGCTTGTGTTGTAAAATGTTCTGGGACGAATTAACAAGCGACATCCCAGCACTCGGCACGTTCCCATAAGCGTTTTGTCCCCCTCTCCAACAGCTAGCGAAAAGCTTCAATGTCGGTGTTGGTATGATTGTATGGTCTCCTAGACGTTCCTCTGTTGACTGGCGGCCATTGAAATGTTATCCGCAAAAGAAAAGTGAGGAAATTGCTGACTGTTGCATCTCCAGCAGTTTAGCATGTGACGATATATTTGACAAACAGAATCAAGATAATGACTAAATTACATAGTCCCCGCCCTCTGCAGTAACTTCCAAGCTATACACGAGTGCTATTTACACGTAGTGACGTCGACTATTCGCTCACACGTTTTACATTTCACGAAACAGCACCAGTAAAATTTACAGTTACACCGCTCCACTAGCTTCTGCTTGAACGTGTTGTAACCACGCCCACAGCACATTAAGTTACAGCCGTCCATGCCTTGAGACTGTTTATGGCACACTCTACCCACTGTACCTATGGAGCCGGTCTCGGCGTTGGGTACACAGTAATTTGGAGATTCGTCCATGTAAATGAGATCTTCTTTTGAAGGTTTGTTGTATCTTTTGTTCTTTCTGACCAGCTTGATGCCGCCTCTGTTGAATTTGATTTCTGTGGCTCCGTCGTAGCGGTCCCGAAGACGGTCGCCAACCTCTCTGAAAGTTGGCAGTTGCTGCCAGCAAGTCTTCAGGGCGCAGGACCCCGACACGCCGTGACATTTGCATTCCACCTTGGCATAGTTGTAGACAGCCTGCAGACAGAACACAAGTTGAGTTTAGCACATCAGCAAAGTCAGATAACTTCACATGTTCTTTCATTTTAGCTCATCCTCACAAACAGGGAACCCAGGAATCCCAGGAAAGTTGATATTATAGGGGTGTTAGGGTTATCGTTAGGGTTAGTTGGTGTTCACATTAAAACGTGTTTGGGGTAAGATAAAATGAAAGTACCTTAAATAATGACACAGAATTACGCCAGACATTTTAAAATTAACCAAATCTTCCTTCGTCTGAGTTTTGCTTCAGATGTAAATACGATTTCCTGTAATAACACTATTAGAATCATAATAATCATCACCAGCTGCAGCCTTGCCGCCTGGCTTGGGCGATCATGCCTCTACCATATCTGACACTCCTCAGTGCTTTAAAAACAAATCTTCTCCTGTTGTCTTCCTCTGTCTCTTTTCCGCAGATCTTTCCAGTGATCACTACATGTTCCAATTTCCCTCTTCTGATAACACCTCTTTCAAAATACAGTATAGCCGCAGTATTGTTCCCATTGCGGCCAACACATCCGACTTCTTCAGGCATTTATCGCCAGGGTTAGCCTTTCTAAATATTCAATGAAACTATTTCATACTAGCTTTAATTGAAGGGCTTCGCCCAGGGTAGCAAATGAAAGTCCTATTCTCTCGTCTTCTACCTCATCTTGGTCTCCACCGCTGCCGTATCTTTAGACATTGCCACTAAGTGCACCCGAGGTGCCCTATGTATGGTTAACACTTGTTGAAAAATTTAGGAGACAGATGAATATATTGTCTCAGACACACATAGATATGTTTTCTAGGAAGAAGAAGAAAAAAAAAAACTAAACATATTTTTTTAATTACCCTTCCAAGGTAAGTAATTATGGAGAAAATATAAAAAGGGATATAACACCAGTGAAAGTCTACCTTTACGGATTGAAGCAATAAAAAACAAAATGCAAAATAACCTGGACCGCCAGTTAAACATTGTAGTCATAATGGCAGATAACAATTTACCCCGTATAATTGGTCACGGTTTTTAAGGATCTTCATTTATAATAAACACTTGGAATACAGCGGTTTTGTAATTTATAGAATATATTTCATAAATTCGAGGGTGGGGGTTCGAAATATTATTTCTTGTCATCCCTTTGAGAATGTTATTGCTTACGTCCTTCTTAGGACGTTATTTTTTGTTATTTGAAGCCCCACTCTGGCTTTTGCCAGGGGCCGCAATATAGGCAGGTCATAAAAATGGCCAAATGTCTGAACGCGGTTTCTGGGACCTCTCCACGGCGATCCTCATCCGCATGGTGGCACTTTGTGTCATCGGGTGTTTATCGCTTGTGTGATGTCCTAGTGGGGTAAAAAGCCAATCCAGCCAATCCCTTTGAGAAGACTATCCAGTTTCGTCCTTTTCAGGACGAAATTTTTTGTTATTTGAAACCCCACCCTGGCTTTTGCCAGGGGCCGCAATATAGGCAGGCCATGAATGTGGCCAAATGTCTGAACGCGGTTTCTGGGACCTCTCCACGGCGATCCTCATCCGCATGGTGGCACTTTGTGTCATCGGGTGTTTATCGCTTGTGTGATGTCCTGGTGGGGTAGAAAGTCAGTCAGTCAGTCATCCCTTTGAGCTTGACACTAGTATCTTGTCATCCCTTTTTGGGTTGTCGTACGTCCTTCTTAGGACGTTATTTTTTGTTATTTGAAGCCCCACTCTGGCTTTTGCCAGGGGCCGCAATATAGGCAGGTCATCATTATGGCCAAATGTCTGAACGCGGTTTCTGGGACCTCTCCACGGTGATCCTCATCCGCATGGTGGCACTTTGTGTCATCGGGTGTTTATCGCTTGTGTGATGTCCTGGTGGGGTAAAAAGCCAATCCAATCCCTTTGAGCAGATCATGATACAATTACGTCCTTTTCAGGACGTAATTTTTTGTTATTTGAAGCCCTACTCTGGCTTCTGCCAGGGGCCGCAATATAGGCAGGCCATAAATATGGCCAATTGTCTGAACGCGGTTTCTGGGACCTCTCCACGGTGATCGTCATCATCATGGTGGCACTTTGTGTCATCGGGTGTTTATCGCTTGTGTGATGTCCTGGTGGGGTAGAAAGTCAGTCAGTCAGTCATCCCTTTGTGTGATGCAATATTTCGTTATTTGAAGCCCTTCTCTGGCTCTTGCCAGGGCTGCAATATAAACCGGTCACAAATCTAGTCTAATGCAGGGCTATTCAACTAAGTTTACCCAGTTGCCAAGATTTTGAAAAGGCGGATCATGACGGGCCAGATACCTGAGCCCATGCATAGAAAATGATTAATATATAAAAAAAAAAAAAAATGGCAATGATCTGCGGCCACTAGGTCTCCGCGGGCCGCCAAGTTGCAAAGCCCTGGTCTAATGGCTAAACGCCGTTTCTGGGACCTCTCCACGGGTGATCCTCATCTACATGGTGGCACTTTGTGTCATCGGGTGTTTATCGCTTGTGTGGTATCCTGGTGGGGTAAAAGAAGATAGATAGATGGGGCTTCGAATAACAAAATTGTGCATTCGACAGAGGGACGACATAAACAATGTAGTGCTTTTGAATTTCTGAAATCTATAACTTACTCTCATGTTTTTTTTTTTTAAAACCGTTCTGTCCGATTCAATCATTACATAATCCTTTATAATCTGTCTCTTTAACGCTTCTATCCTATCCACTTATCACATTACCCTATCATATCCTGACTTTTCAACCCCACATACTCAGTGTTTTAAATTCTTGTTATTCTACGTGTTTGCTCACCCGCTTCTAATACTTTAAATAACAATCGGCCTGGTTAGTTGAAAAAGATTTAGGTCGAGATGATCCACTTAATTACACCCTGTTTTATCTCACGTGGCTCGGTCTCTCTCCACAGAACGGCTAGCAGCGCCGCACTGAGCCCTAACTCTGTAGCTGCGTCGACGGTCCCCGGGAATCTGTAAAAACTGCACTCATGAACTAAAGAGCACAGCCCTGGAGGAAACTCTCGACCTTCAGAGCGCGAGGCAAACGGCTTGACCACTTCGCCACGGAGGCCCCGGCTTGGTAAGTTGATATACTGAACACCGCCAGCAAGAGAAGGTGATGACAAGCATGTAGTGATGGGTGTGTTGGTTGCGATGAAGATGGCATTAAAACCACGACAAAACATAAACCTACTGAGTCAAAAAGTATCGTTAAGTTGCCGAAGCTGAAGGGCCCACTAAGCACGGGATTCGAGCATTGCTCGAAGGCTGATCTAACTAACTAGTCAACTAACTAAATAACCAACCAAATAACCAGCTAATCTACTAACTAGCTATCTTGCTAGCTTACCTCACTCCTTCACTCACCCACTCACACTCCAACCAAGCAACCAACCAACCAGACAAACAACCAAACAACTAACTAACTACTAACTAGCAAGATCATTCATTCACTTACTCGCCCACCTACCCTACAACCTACCAAACAACTAATCGACCAATGAACCAACCAAATAACAAGACAGCTGACTAACTAACTAACTAACTAACTAACTAACTAACTAACTAACTAACTAACTAACTAACCAACCAACCAACCAACCAACCAACCAACCAACCAACCAACCAACTAACTAACTAACTAACTAACTTACTAACTAACTAACTAACTAACTAACTAACTAACTAACTAACTAACTAACTAACTAACTAACTAACTAACTAACTAACTAACTAACTAACTAACTAACTAACTAACTAACTAACTAACTAACTAACTAACTAACTAACTAACTAACTAACTAACTAACTAACTAACTAACTAACTAACTAACTAACTAACTAACTAACTAACTAACTAACTAGCCATCCAACTAACTAAAACACTGGGGGGGGGGGGGGCAGCCAACTAACCAGAAAGTATGCTAGAATACTATCTAGTTAACTACTACTACCTAACTAACGTACTAACTAACTATATAAGTGGCTAACTAGCTAAATAGCTAGCCATTTAAAGTAATAACTGATTCGTACAGAACGAGTCAAAGCAACACTGACAGGGACTGGGTGGAGTAAATCATTGCACAGACACTCTAGCTCGTATATTCACATACAAAACACCGAAACATGCACACAAACCCCCAAACTTTCTCTCTCTCTCTCTCTCTCTCTCTCTCTCTCTCTCTCTCTCTCTCTCTCTCTCTCAAACACAAACGAACCCTTATATCCCCCCCCCCCCCCACACACAAACTAAGACAAACATCCTCAGTAAAATACAGACTCACACAAACACAAACGAACATCTTTAAGCCAAAAAAGACGACTTCGAAACATCTATCAGCTTGAATCTAATATCTCATTCTCATATCATCCTGAAGTCTCAAACTCGTCTTGATCACTCAGCCTCAGACTCATCTGGGTCCTGAAGTTTGAAACTCATAATAAAGCTTCAAATGTGAAACGCTTTCAGAGCTATTCACGGACAGGAACAAAGTGACATTGTGTTTGTATTCCCTGTTCAAGCACACACAATAATGGCCTGATGAAACCCTTGGTGCCTAAAGTGTCGCCTCCAGGGAGCAGATATGCCAGCGACCCTCTTGAACTGTGCGTCTCAGACGGTTTATTAATCCCGTCAGATCTGGGCATGAGGAAACACGAGACTAGGCTTGCTACTCTCTAGGGTGCCACTCCGCTGTGAGGGGAAGCCCTTTATTGTGACCCAGCAGCATCATCCAAAGGATAAGATTATACTGGGCGGATAAGCCACGCTAGTTACCTCCAGCTGAGGAGGAGGGGGAGTGACAAGTGAAAGATGAATGAGAGACGGTGGAGGAATGGAGGATCAAGGAAGTATAATGCTGGGGTGGAGAGAAATTCTGGGTTAAAATCAAGAACTGCAGTAAAAGTAAGGGGCTTTTATAACGCCTTTGGCACATTGGGCATATAGTAAGTAAATGACCCTTTCCCCTGTCTTCAGCTGTATGGCGAATATAGGGCTAGATCTATAT